GCATTGCGACGAATTCGCGATGAATTCGCTCGCTGCTCACTGCTCGGCGTGGTATCATTTTGAAGCTGGAAAATAAATTCAATAATAATGAAATAATAATTTTTCTATTATACATTCTTGCCTAATTATTCATTTTAATGTACATTTAATTAAAAAAAAAAAAAAAAAAAATTGGGAAAAGCAGGGTTTGAACGCGCGACCTGCAACGTCTCAGTCCGTCACCTCAGTCGCTGCGCCACGCTTGCTACATAGCTATCTCGGTTGCGTACTCGGTACATCTATTGCACGAGAAGTTTCAATATTTTCTCGCAAATACTTGAAAAATGCATCGCGCTGCTTGCTCCGTTTCAAGTAAAACTTACTCTGTTTCGAGGGGAACATCTTGATGGACACACGTTTTTCCTGAGATTTTAAAGTAACCTATGTTTTTTTTCAATGGAATCATACGATCTTTTTTATATAACATAATTCCTGTAGTTATTTGGCACATAAAATAGGTAAGCTAGCAGTTATCAAAAAATCAATATTTTGCGAGATGTTATATTTTATTCTGGCATATGTTTTGACATGAAATATAAAATATCTTGTAAACTATTCATTTTTTGATAACTGTACCTACTTTTATGCGTAAAATAGTGGAACGAGTAAGTTGATTTAAAGACAACGCAGTTGTTTTTTTTTTTTTTTAAATAATGCAATTTATAATGTGCAATTACATACTTTTTTTGGAAAGTAACTACGTTTTTCTCACATTAATTGATTCGTCTCACTATATATAAAAGTATCAATATATATAAAAGTAAAAAGATTCACATTACGTACTCTGTCGATGAATGGTCGCTTTCAAATACTGGTTAATATTTTAATCTTTTTGTTTTTATCATAATTATGTTATGTTCATTGAATAATAGCAAACTGTTGTACAACATTTCTATTCGTTTTTTCGGTTCATTCTACATCAATACACAGTATATACATACACTAAGCTTTCTAACTTTGCGTTAATTCGATACAGAGTAAAGACCATGATTTAGAAATAGATAACAGCTTTACCAATAAAATATTAAAAATTATTTATATACAGGGTGTCCCATTATAAATTTGACAGCGCTATATTTCGCGAACGGATGATTTCATTGAAAAACGTTTCAATTAAAACTTACTCTGTTTTGAGGGGAACATCTTACGATGAACACACGTTTTTCTTAGGTGAAGGTCCTAAGATTTTAAGGTGACCTTTGTTTATTTTAATGAAATCATACAATTTTCTTTATATAATATAATTTCTCTACTTATTTGGCATATAAAAGTATAAAGGTAAAGCTATCAAAAAATCAATAGTTTACGGGATATTTGATATTATTCGAATAAATTTTTAGTACGGGCAGTATATATCGGAACACGGCCGTAGTATGTGTCATATAAATAATAATATCATGATGTTTCCGCGGTATTAGTAATATATATTATGATATTCGCTCGAGCCGATACGTATTTTTATAAATTCATATTTATGCATTTGTAGTAGATATTAGGAATTTTCTTTGAACGATATTCTTTACTAATTCATTGATATGAATTTGTACTATTATAATACGTACCGGATCGGTACGTATTATAGCGAATGACATAGTATTACTAATACCGCGGATAAAATGCCGTAATATCATTTACTGCATTTACATGACACATATTACGGCCTTGTTCTTACGTGTACTGCCACTACACAAATCTATTCCAAATGTAAATATATAAAAAATCACATTACGTACGGTACAGATTTTCAGTACCGGTAATGTAAATTGTGAACACGATCTACCTGTGTATATGTTTATGACAAATCAACGACAATCGCGGAGTGAGATAGATAGATATAGATAGATACTGTCGCAAGTGTCGCGACGATAGTGTAGTGACGCGAGTGTAATAACGTGCTACAGTGAAGTAAACAGTGAAGTGAGCAGTGAAGTGAACAGTGAAGTGAACTGTAAAGTGAGTATTGGAGACTAATTTAGTAAATATGGGTTTGAAACATTTGGAGAAGAAAAAGCCTTCGTATTGCCACAGACTGTCCCGGAAGAAAGGAGCGTTACGAAGGTTAGTATACATTATGCATTTATGATAACATTTTGATGAATATTTATTATACAAATCCCTCAAGCCTACTTAGAATTTGATCTATTCACTCGTTATTGAGATCTCAAAATCTTGGGTACTCGCAACTCGTGCGTTCGCGTAAAAGAGTCACGGTGCGGTCTCATTCCGCGTGTACTTGTCGCGAGGCTCTACCATATCTCTTGATATTCACGAATAGACAAATTTAATCAGACAGACAGACTGACTGACAGGCAGACCGGTTTTCTTACATTTTGAACTTTTGATATATAAAACTTTATATAAAGGTTAGGTCAACTTTCTTACTATAATATTTTTTCTCACAAATATTTTTGTAAACATCACGTGCATATTAACATATATGCGCACGCACGCACATACACACACACACAAATTTTGTTCTTTGACATAGTGTAAAATATTGCAAAATGTTAATAATTTTAACTTTTTTAAAGTTTTTTTAGAATCTAAAATATAAGTAGTATCTGTGTAAAAGATTGTTGGGAGAAGACTTTGAACGAGCAATAAGTTCCCGCCCTTCTAGAGGGCAGCCCCCGGTTGGCGGCGCGACTCGGCGCGCCACGCGTGCGTGCGGGCATCAGTGGTGCTCACAAGAGCCTCGATCACCGTCGTGTTCAGACGTGTCGGTTACGGTTTAAGTTACAGAGTGTGATATACTTATATATAATAAAGACAGTATTCAGAGTGTACAAAGACCAAGATTGTTGTGTTCCCTGCTCATCTCACCACATTTCAAGTCGTCCCTGATTATATTTCCAATAGGTTATGGGCCCAGGGCACGATTCCCCTGCGTGAGGAACATAGCACGAAAGTGTATATACGAAGTGTGTGAGACGCCGGCGAAAAGCATAGAAAAAGATAGAAGCATCTAGAAGATTAGAGGGTAAGTAAATAATATTCCTCGTTGCTGACGAGCAAAACGAGAGAATTCTCAGTTAATAAGAATGTTTGTTCGATAAATACTGTTACAAGGAGATAGATGTTTTTGCCATTTTTCTCGAGAAATAGAAATAGAGGTAATAATGGTAATAAGAAAATTAGAGAATAGATGTATAAAGTGTAATAAAGAAGTAGAGAATAATGAAGAAAAAAGAGATAGAAAAATGCCGCTTGGTAGCAAGTCGGCGACGTGCGCATGCAAGTCCGATCGTGAACGGCGAGAGTCATTTCTTTTGGCGCGCGGAAGTCCGATCGTAGACGGCGAAAGTCATTGTTTTTGGCGCGCAGAACTTGTTGCTGGGCGCGCACAAACACATAATCGATTTCGACTAACAACATGGCATCGCTGCTAGATGGCTAGATTACGATACATGTACATGTATGCGTATGCTAGATGGCTAGATTGCGATACATGTAAATGTATGCGTATGTATAAAAACTCTATATGACTCTATATGAGTTTATTTTTTTTGAAATCGATATGTATCGGGTCGGTAATTGAGCATGACTTGCTGTGCGGTGTAGCTTGATTACTGTTTAGGGAAGCCGCGTAAATTTGTATGGGCCCCGTGCGTGTGCGTGATCAACCCGAGCTCCCATAGATCTTTTCAGCAGTGCTGGGGATCGCAACGGACAGTGGTGTGCGCGTGCGGATAGCCCTGCAGAGGCGCGTGGTTTCTCGCTTTGGGGTTATTGTGAATTGCAGTGCGTTCTATATAGCCTCATAAGCATTAAATTTTTATCGCTGAAAGAGATCTAGTGATAGAAATTGTAAATTATTATTTGTCAATACGAATGTTGGTTTATCTTGTCAAAAGAGGAATGCTAATGTTCAGTTGATATTTAAATCCCGATATAGATAGAAGAAGAAGAAGGCCAAGATGCGCTGGTCGACTACGACAGCGATAGCAGCTTTATCACGGTAATAGATAGAGAAACAAAAGATAAAAACGACGAGACAGTAAGAAAAGATAGAGGTAAGAGAGTATTTTTTTTGAAAATAAAGTAGTCCAGAAGAATAATATATATATGCATTCAGAGAAAATAAAAATAGTAATTTCAAAATTCCGTATAGAAGCAAAAGACAAGAAGGAGACTGAAGCAAAGGGTGCAATCCCGAAACGCGGCAAACCAAAGATAATAAAAAACATAGATGTGAATAGAGAATGGGCTGATAATCGTCCTGTACTACCTATAGGGACAAAGATACTTTACGAGAAACAAGAAAAGATGGTTGAGAAAATGGACAATTCGATGCAGATGCTGGATAAAGTAATGAAGAAGGCCACCGAGATGATGGAGAATATGGTGGAAGTCTCCCGTTTAAATTTAGAGAAAGAAAAAGTTAAACTTAGACGTTTAGAGGTAAGCAATAAAGATACCCAAAGTTCAGTAGAAAACAGTAAACAAACGGTTAAAGAACTAGAGGTAGAGTCTAAAAAGAGAAAATTAAATGAAATAACAGTCTGTTCAGCCGAAAAAGGTAGGAGTTTAGAGACAATGAAAAGAGCTATAAAATTGGAATTGAACAGTCAAAGGTTGCATATTAGAAGAGAATATAAGCTGACGCAAAAATCCAACTTTGATCTTTGGATGGATTATTTAAAATCTGAGTTAATGAATAACGAGTTGTTAGATGTAATAGATTCAAACATTGAAAGTCCAGAAAATCTCTCCGAACTAAAAGTTGCTAAGAGAAAAAGTCTTGTTAGAGATATAATAATCAATCATTTAGATGAAAACTATCATAAAAGGATTCTACATGAAAAAGATCCGAAAGAAATTTTGAAGAAATTGAGAAGATATAAAAAGAGTGAAGTAAACGTTACTCATGCATCGGTACGAACTAAACTTTATCAAATTAAAATGAGAAAAAACGAAAAAGTAAGTGATTTTTGTGAACGCTTCGATTCAATAATTAGAGAATATGAATCATGTGAAGATGCGGTACCCCTCACAGAACAAGAGATTAGATCTGCACTTTATCAGGCTGTGTCAATTAATGTACCAGAGCTGAGGAATGTAGATTTAATTAGAAGACAAACTAATCTTAAAGAAATGAACATAGATGAAATAAAGTCTTTTATGATGCAGTTAGAAGCAGAAACTAAAAACGAGAATAAAGAAAAATTAGAGAAACCCGAAGTCAGGGTACAGAGGGCTGCTGCAGAAGAGAACATGAAACAAGTGAAATGCTACAGATGCAACCGAATGGGTCATATGGCAAAGGACTGTCCACTAATAGAATTTGGTGCCTGGTTTTGTTACTACTGCCAGGAAGTACGAGGTCACAAGGGTGATAATTGTCCGAGTGCCGAAGCCCAGGCGAACAGAGCTAGAGGAAAAAGGTATTTAAATAAAACCGTTAATAAAAACATAAACAAAAAGGGTAGATTTGTGCAAAAAGGCACAAAAAGAGTAGATAACAAAGGGAAAATAACCAAGATACAACCAGCTGAGAAACCTATATCAACGAAAACAGCAAATAAAGGAGAATCAGAAGAAGGTAAATAATACATGGTTAAATTAATAGAAGATAGAGATAGTTCAAAAGAGGTAGTCAATTTTACTGCAGATTCGGGTGCTACGGATCATATTGTGAATAAGAATTTTATTCTGTCAAAATTTGAAAAATGTAAAGATAGAGTTATTAAATGCGCGAATAAAAATGAGCTTGCAAACATTTCAATAGATGGTAAAGGAGATCTTACGCTAATAACGAATGAAAAAGAAAAGAGAGTCATTAAATTAACAAATGTAATTGCAGCAAAGAAAGTATCCAAAAATTTAC